GAGGGAGACCTCAGAGGGTTGAGAGGACACGCCTCTGTGTGGTTGAGAGGGACACGCCTCTTTGTGGCGAACCTCTCAAGAGTTCTTGATGCTGTGAGAGCTCCTGACTCTAGGAATTGGATCTGTGCTCCAGTTTCCCTGAATTAAGCCTGAATACACTTCCATCCGCCCCCCCGTCCCATAAGGGCTATATATCCTACTGATTTAAGCGCTTCCCCCTTGATTATAATACTGTTGGTGCTGAAAATTATCAATATGGCTTCAGTTCTACAGACTCTGCTTATGTAGCACTCGTAGCGGGCTGCCCTACAGCCTATAGGAACGAACAAACGTTTTATAGCAAAACATGTAAAGGCCACCCGACCTGTTCACATCTCAGACAAGAATCTTTAGACGTATTATTAGGAGATTGCAAAAAAAAATGCCTTATGCATTTTTTTTCGCCATCGATTATACTAAATTAATACATTCTTAGCACCAAAATGATGCAGCAAACATTTCGAGTAGCTAACTGCGTCATTTTTTAAGCACTGAATCCTCATTGATATTATTTAAAAAAACTGCCCTTTTCTCCAGTGGTTGTGGTCACAAGCGCAGGTGTGTGATTTAGCAGAGAGTGGTAGGAGTATTCAATGGTTAAACCTGAGAGCTTATATTATAGCGAAACTTGTACTGAACTTGTCCCAACACCGTCCTGGACGAGCAACACTGACGGTCTCACACCTGTGTCGATGCTGTCGTCTAGTGTGTTAGGATTAAAGCCTAGCGACTGCACCTAGCTCATTAAGCCAATAATTCACCTATACACTAACATTAAACAATTCAGCCCTTAAAATAAGGATCAAAATAAACTCTTATTGTATATACATTGAGAGACGAACCTCTCAGTGTTTACACAAAGAGAAATTAATTTTTAGTACATATTCTGTCTATATCAATCCTCTATGATACTCGGTATATTTTTTAAAGCATCGTCAAGTCAAGGTTATTTTTTCAACCTCATGTCCGTGATGTAACAAATTCTAACCAACTATTTACCATACATTTTCATATACATCCTCAACACATGGAATATAAACAAGTTACTAAATGTAACGGCGTAACATCACCTGCTGGTTGTGACGTAACGCTTTTCTAAACCACTGACGACTTAGACCAATATCTGAATATATAATATTCAGAACAATAATACACTTTGAGAGGCGACACAGTACTCGCATACACATCTTACTTCTACTCAAACATTATTAATAGTACACACCTAACCTGCGCCAGTTTTTAATTGACCATTATCTAGATGCCAAGATCCATTCAACACTGTGGAGACCTTTTTTAGCATTTAAAAAACAAATCGAGCTTATATACAAATAACGCGCACATAGAAGCTTAAGACGACGCTTCGGTCCAACTTGGACCATTTACAAAGTCACACTCTCTGGACCATTTACAAAGTCACACTCTCTGGACCATTTACACACTCTCTGGACCATTTACAAAGTCACACTCTCCTATGTGCGGGTTATCTGTGTATTGTTCCAGTCACGGTATTGTGCCTTTTTGTTCTCAAGTCGAATTTATGCTTTACTTTACGAGTGTTTCAGGATTGTGAGAGTTTTCTTGACTTTAAGTTCTTCTCAGACTAAGTTAACAATGGAAGCACACCGGGGTAGGAGTGGTGTCACACTGGGAGAAGTGGTGTCACATTGTGGCAGTAGGTGTCACACCAGGACAGAAGTAGTATTACACCGGGGTAGTAGTGGTGTCACACCAGAGCAAAAGTGGGGTCACACTGGGAGAAGTGGTGTCACACCAGGGCAGTAGTGTTACATCAGGGCAGTAGTGGTGTCACACCAGGGCAGTAATGATGTCACACCAGGGCAGTAGTGGTGTCACACAAGGACAGTAGTGGTGTCACACCAGAACAGTAGTGGCGTCACACCAGGGCAGTAGTGGTGTCACACCAGGACAGTAGTGGTGTCACACCAGGACAGTAGTAGTGTCACACCAGGGCAGTAGTGGTGTCACACCAAGGCAGTAGTGGTGTCACACCAAGACAGTAGTGGTGTCACACCAGGATAGTAGTGGTGTCACACCAGGACAGCAGTGGTGTCACACCAAAGCAGTAGTGTCACACCAGAGCAATAGTGTCACACCAGAGCAGAAGTGTCACACCAGAGCAGTAGTGTCACACCAGAGCAGTAGTGTCACACCAGAGCAGTAGTGTCACACCAGAGCAGTAGTGTTACACCAGAGCAGTAGTAGTGTCACACCAGGACAGTAGTGGTGTCACACCAGGACAGTAGTGGTGTCACACCAGGACAGTAGTGGTGTCACACCAGAGCAGTAGTGTCACACCAGGGTAATAGTGCCACACCAGGGCAGTAGTGTCACACCAAAGCAGTAGTGTCACACCAGAGCAATAGTGTCACACCAGAGCAGAAGTGTCACACCAGAGCAGTAGTGTTACACCAGAGCAGTAGTAGTGTCACACCAGGACAGTAATGGTGTCACACCAGGACAGTAGTGGTGTCACACCAGAGCAGTAGTGTCACACCAGGGTAATAGTGCCACACCAGGGCAGTAGTGTCACACCAGAGCAGTAGTGCCACACCAGGGCAATAGTGTCACACCAGGGCACTAGTGTCACACCAGAGCAGTAGTGGTGTTACACCACACCTACTTACAAAGACTTACTTGAGAACTTCAGTCACACCTGCTCAGTCATTTCACTCAAACGCTACACATTTTGAACCTCTCTTAATTAAATGCTTATACGCAAAGCTCACAGAGTCAAGAAGGTAAACTACTCCGAGTCTTAAAGCGTATTACAAGAATTTGGTGCCTCTTGTCTCATACGGAACCATCTCTCACATTCACAGTCTTCGAGGCTGGCCTAGTGCCACGCACTGGCGATGTCTCGAGACTTGAATCTTCAAGGGAAGATAAGGAGCCTTTACGTTTTGCCCAATGAGGTCGTTGGACATTGCGTGTCATGTCTAAGTACAGTGCCGCTCCTTCAAAAGAGTGCCTCTCCTGTTGTCCCAACCTGGCTCTCTAAACTCACGAAATCGTAATGACACGATTGCAAACAAACCATACCCCGGCCGGGATTGAACCCGCGGTCAGAGAGTCTCAAAACTCCAGCCCGTCGCGTTAGCCACTGACACTAGCTGTGGCTAGCTGTCTAGGGCTACGCGACGGCTGGAGTTTGGACTCTCTGACCGGTTCAATCCCGGCCGGTGGTATAGTTTTTTCTGGTGTCTAACTAAACTAGCGACAGGACATCAGTATCGTCTTCAGACTCTCACCTTTTTGTCTATCTTCGGAAGCCGAGTTCCTTCGCAGGCCAGCAGTGGTGCAGCGGTGGATGCTTGATAAAGGTACCTTGTTATACTGTGCTTGTGTTGCAAACTATCTCAACATGCACACACAAACACACCACACACAACACACACCCACACACTGCAACACACACACCTCACACACACACACACACAGGCTGGGTATTGTACTTTACTAATACATATAAAGTTTCTTGTCACTATCACGATCAGATCTTTCTGTATTTCCTGATAAATAATACTTGTAAGACATGGGTGAACATACTAAAAAAAAAACAAAAAAACGACGTTTTTCGATACTGTCACAATATAACGGAAAGGCCAAGATAACGCAATGTTCAAGATACATAGTCACCACAAGATACATAAACATCACACACAGATACAAGTCACCACAAGATACATAAACAGTCACCACAAGATACATTGTACACAAATATACATAGTCACACACACAGATACATGTCACCACAAGATACTAAACAGTCACCACAAACTAAAGTCACAAAAGATAAACATTGTTAATACTGTATATTCATGTCTTCGGAGAATTGAGTGAAGGAACTGAGTGACGAAACTTGATGACAGGAACCTTGATGACAGGGAACCTGAGTGACAGAGAACCTTGAGTGCCCAGAAACTGAGTGACAGGAACTCTGATGACAGAAACTAGTAAGAACATATGAACAGTTAGTATCTTTATAGAAACGTTGCATACACAGTAGGCTTCATCAAGTACATAAAGTGATAGAAGCAGAATATGATAACATTAACAGTCCACACTTAAGTTTAAGTGGTCAAGTCCCCAGCTGAGAAGAGCATTTTCATAAGAACAACCGTCGGATTTATACATTAATGTCACATCTGTCAACATGCAAACAAGGTAATCTTGGTACAGACCTTGCAATAACTTGAAACTTCCATTAGTGAGAGCGGCTGGATTTGAGAGGGACCTACTTCATAATCTGAGTCTACCTTTCTAGTGACTACGGTCTCACCTTTTGGCGCTAAAACTCCATCCTGTCACTTTCTCTTATTGTTTCATCTATGGAACATGTCTTCTCAGACTGAGGGAGACACCTCAAACTTTAAGGTGAGGACTGATTACTCGTTTCAAGTATCTTTGCTCTATCAATTTTCTGTACCTTGACTGAAGAACCTACTGTTAGGGAAACGTTTCATAAGAAGATACCTACTGTTGATAGGTCTTAGTACTAAACTTGTCGGTATTTTACACCTTTTAATGTTCAAATCAGTGACAGGAAACCTTGAGTGACAAGAAACCTTGAGTGACAGGGAACCTTGAGTGACAGGAAACCTTGAGTGACAAGAAACCTTGAGTGACAAGAAACCTTGAGTGACAGGGAACCTTGAGTGACAGGAAACCTTGATTGACAAGAAACCTTGAGTGACAGGAAACCTTGAGTGACAGGAAACCTTGATTGACAGGGAACCTTGAGTGACAGGGAACTCCTGATTTATACAGACTAACACTACTATCTTGCTCACTAATACCACCATCTTGCTCACTAATACCACCATCTTGCTCACTAATACCACCATCTTGCTCACTAATTCCACCATCTTGCTCACTAATTCCACCATCTTGCTCACTAATTCCACCATCTTGCTCACTAATACTTCTCACTAATACACCATCTTGCTCACTAATTCCACCATCTTGCTCACTAATACCACATCTTGCTCACTAATTCCACCATCTTGCTCACTAATTCCACCATCTTGCTCACTAATACCACCATCTTGCTCACTAATTCCACCATCTTGCTCACTAATTCCACCATCTTGCTCACTAATTCCACCATCTTGCTCACTAATACCACCATCTTGCTCACTAATTCCACCATCTTGCTCACTAATACCACCATCTTATTCACTAATACGGCCTCCACACGGATGGATCATTCGGGGAGGGACCTCCGGCGCGTGTACCATTGCTCATGTAGCGATCGTGAACGTGGGCAGCGTGGAGGGTATCATCTGGCGTCATGTGGGCATTTATCATGCCTTGGTGGGGTACTGGGGTGGTCGCCCCAGTACCAGACATGTCACGGTACCCATCGTTACGACTGTAGTCTCTCTGACCGGTGGTACTGGCGGCCGTGTACTGGTCCGTGGGCGCTTGACGGGGGTCAAGTAGGGATAGCTGCCCCTGCTGTGGGTACAAGTGTGGGTATAGCAGGGATACGCTAGGGGATAGGTACCCTTGCGCCGTGGTGGTGGCAGTGTAGTAGCCGGAACCTAGGTACCCAGGGTAGGTACCAGTGCCACCTACTGTCCCTGTCGCTGGTATCACACCGCCACCTGCGCCGCCGCCCGTGGAGGATGACGCCCCCGCCAGGAGGCCGCCCACGCTGGAGGAGGCGGCGGCGGCGTTGGAGGAGGTAGCGGGGGGCGTGTAAGGTGCGCAGGAAAGGTCCTGGCGAGGGTCTGCGCTCTGGGTATTGTGGCGAGGATCTGGCGAAGAGTAACGCGCCAGCATGTACTCGTGGCGAGGCGGGGAGTGTCCGGCCCCAGGCAGCGACCCCAGACCTTCGTAGTCACCCCCGGAGCTGGGGGAGTTCTCCATAACACCTGTAACACAACACCTGTTATTAGACTTATGACATAATACTGTTTTTACACCTGTAACACCTGTTATCACACGTGTAACACAACACCTGTTATCACAACACCTGGTAATGCACCTGTAACACAACACCTGTTGTTACACCTGTAACACAACGCCTGTTGTTACACCTGTAACACTTGTTATTGCACCTGTAACACAACACATGTTACTGCACCTACAACACAAAACTTGTTACACATACAACACAACACCTGTTACTACACCTATAAATACAACTCTTACACGTGCATGTTCCTACAATACAGTTGTACAATGTATTAACACCCCATCTCTGCTGAACACAGAGATTATGTACTGGAGACAGTGGATGATGAGGCAGTCAGTCCCTCAGCCGTGAAAGAAGGTGGTCAGTCCCTCAGCCGTGAAAGAAGGTGATCAGTCCCTCAGCCGTGAAAGAAGGTGGTCAGTCCCTCAGCCGTGAAAGAAGGTGGTCAGTCCCTCAGCCGTGAAAGAAGGTGGTCAGTCCCTCAGCCGTGAAAGAAGGTGGTCAGTCCCTCGGCCTTGCAAGAAGGTCAGTCCTTCAGTCTTGAAAGAAGGTGGTCAGTCTCTCAGCCTTGAAAGAAGGTGGTTAGTCCCTCAGTCTTGAAAGAAGGTGGTCAGTCCCTCAGTCTTGAAAGAAGGTGGTTAATCCCTCAGTCTTGAAAGAAGGTGGTTAGTCCCTCAGTCTTGAAAGAAGGTGGTTAGTTCCTCAGTCTTGAAAGAAGGTGGTTAGTCCCTCAGTCTCGAAAGAAGGTGGTTAGTTCCTCAGTCTTGGAAGAAGATGGTCAGTCCCTCAGTCTTGAAAGAAGGTGGTTAGTTCCTCAGTCTTGAAAGAAGGTGGTTAGTCCCTCAGTCTTTAAAGAAGGTGGTCTTCCCCACCCGGGAAAGAAGGGGGTTTTACCCCTAAAGCTTGAAAAAAAAGGTGGTCATTCCCCAGCCTTGAAGAAGGGGTTTCCCTCGCTTGAAAGAAGGGGTTTAGCCCCTCAGTTTGAAGAAGGGGGGTATTTCCTCAGCTTAAAAAGAAGGGGGATTTCCTCAGCCCGAAAGAAGGGGGTTTTTTTCCTCAGTTTTGGGAAGAAGTGGTATCCCCAGTCTTAAAAGAAGTGGTTAGTCCTCGTCTTGAAAGAAGGTGGTTAGTCCTCAGTCTGAAAGAAGGGGGTTATTTCCTCAGTCTTGAAAGAAGGGGGTTTAGCCCCTTTCATCGAAAGAAGGGGGTTTAGTTCCTCGTCTTGGAAAGGGAAATGGTTCCCTAGTCTTGAAAAAGGTGGTTATTTCCTCTTTTGAAAGAAGGGGGGTTAGCCCTCAGTTTTTAAAAAAAGGTGGTCTTTCCCCCTCAGCCTGGAAAGAAGGGGGTTGTCCCTCGGGCTTGAAAGAAGGTGATCACCCCCTTAATTTGCTAAAAAAGTTATAATTCCCTTAGCCTTGATAAGTGTACAGTCATCAAGGGTGAGGTGAGGGAGTTTTACCTGATGAGAGGTGCAAAGGAGGTGGAGTCGGGGGGGTTCCTTGTGGTGAGGTCACTCTGTAACCCGGGTTTTTGTGGGGAGGAAAACCCACTCTGTAGATGGACGGTTGCCTCCAGTCAGACTACCGTCAGGTGGAAAGACTTTCCTTTTTTACTGAGCACCCGTATTGGGTTCTCACATCAACAAATAACTCAACAGTGACAGCTAAACACAATCAACTGAAGCTCAACACACATAAACAGTGACATTGAATACCCCAACAACAGTGACAGTTTAACACACACAACATTGACAGTTGAAACACACATCAACAGTGACAGTTAACACACATCAACGTGACATTTAAAACCCACCAACATCAACATGACATCAACCACATAAACAGTGACGTTCAACACAAAAAACAGTGAAAATTCAAAACAAACAGTGACTTTTAAAAACACATCAACAGTGACAGTTAAACAAAAAACAGTACAGACAAACACATCAACAGTGACATTTTAAACACACATCAACATGACAGTTCAACACACAAAAACATGCATTCAAAACACATCAACAGTGACCACAACACACATCAACAGTGACAGAACAAAAACATCAACAGTGACATTTTACACACATCAACAGTGACTTTTCAAAACACATCAACAGGACAGTTAACACAAATAAAACGTAAATTTTTCAACACACATCAACAGTGAAAATTAAACCCAACATCAACAGGCGTTCAACACACTAAACAGTGCAGTTAACACACATCAACGGACAGTTAAACACAAAAAAAAACTGAAAATTCAACAACATCAACAGTGACAGTTCAACACACATAAACAGTGACATTCAACACACATCAACAGTGACATTCAACACACATCAACGGGACGTTAACACCCCTCAACGTGAAAATTCAAAAACCATAACAGTGACGTTCAAAAACACACAACAGTGACAGTTCAACCCACATAAAACAGTGCTTTCAACACCAAAACAGTGCAATCAACACAAAAAAACCCAACAGTGACAGTTAAAAAACACACATCAACATGACTTCAACACACATAAACGTACTTTCAACACACATCAACATTGACAGTTTCAACACACATCAACGTGACAGTTAACACCCACATCAACAATGGCAACCATCACAAATATAAATGTTGCCCAGAAAGGTCCCCTTTCCGCAGATCTTAAAATCATGGGGTTTTTTGCAGAATAATTGGTTAATGGTTAAAAAGGGTTTTTTTTTAATTTAAAAATTTTGGCAAATAAATTTCCCCCTTCTTAAAAAAAATAATTTTAAAATTTCCCCTTAAAAAAAAGAAAAACAAATTTTGTGTTATAACCCGAGAGACACACTTCTCAGTTATATCAGAAAAAATTTCCCTTTATAATTACCTGGAAAAAAAATTTTTTAGTTAAAAAAAGAGAGAAAACTTCCATGTAATAAGGAAATCACTTCTCATGTATTAAAGCTGAGGACAAACACTTCTCATGTTATACGCTGAGAGACATAACTTCTCAGTGTATATACCCGAGAAAAACTTCTCAGTGTATAACGCTGAGAGACTAACTTTCTGTATATGTGAGAGACTCATTCTCAGTGTATATACCCTGAGAGACATCATTTCCGGTTTTTATAAGGGGGAAAAAACACCTTTGTTATATACGCTGGAGAAAAACATTTCAGGTAATAGCGGGGAAAACACCAAATTTAAAAACTTTTTTTTTAGGAAAAAAACCCTTTTCAGTTATATACGTGAAACATACATTTCTGTATATTAAACTTTTACTTCCATGTTTAAAACCAAGCCCCCTTTAGTTAAAATACGCTGGGGCCCCTTTCATGTATAAAAGGGGAAAATTTGGTATATAATGAAAAAAACACCTTTTGTTAAACCTTTTAAAATAATTTTTATTAAAATAAAACAAACCTTTTTCAGTTAATACGCTAGCATAATTTTATTTTATTGGGGAGAAAACCTTTATGTTAAAAGGGGGGGGATAATTTTCCCCATTAAACCGAAAGAAAACCCCTTCCCAGTTAAAAACCCTCCCTCATGGAAATTTTCCTGAGGACATACACCCTGTATATAAACCCGGTAAATTAGGTATATACCGGGCAAAAATCCATAAATTTCAAATTTTAGTGAAAGAACAGTTAAAAGAAAAATTCATTACGACGAGAAGAAAGAGAAAAAAAAATTGGGGCTAAAAATGGGGAAAAAGGGAAAAAAAGCAAAAATTAATAATAAAAAAAATTTAAAATTTAAAAAAATTAATAAAAAATAATTTAATCTTTGTTTTTTAAACAGGATACACCCTATACTTTTTTATTATTACGGGGGAGGGTTAAAAATAGGATTTAAAAAAAGGAAGGGGGGGGGGGTGGAAGCCAAACTTTCCCCCAATCGGGAAACCGGGCAAATCCTTCCCCAAAAATCAAACCCCCAAGGAATCCCCTTATCTAATTCGAAATTTTAAAAAATTTTTGGAAATTGGAAAATTTTTCCGGGGCAAAAACCAGTCGAAAACCCCATTTCCTTATGAAAAGGGCGGGTCCCAAGGAAAAATCCTAAAAAACTTTACCCCTCCGGAGCCCAAAAAACCGGGCGCTGTTGGCTGGTGGTACCAAAAACTGGGGAAAAAATGGTCATATTTGTAAAAAAGGTTCTGCGCTAAAGTCTGTGCAGTGCACAGTTAGATAACGAGGACATAAACTCGCGGTGAATCTGGCTAACGAAACTAGGAGACAGCAGTAGTGACTTCCCTTCCACATGTATTAACCAGGACAGACTAGCAGTGGACCTGGAGGACTGACCTGGGATATAAGAAGAGTAGTGTGACCCGCTGTAGGAGGACCAGTGACCCTCGCTTGTACCCAGGCTCATGGAAGACGATGCATCTGAAACAATAAAAAATCATTCATCACAGGAAATTCACATTAAAATCATGAACTTCGTGAAAATAATTAATGTGAAATTGTTGACGGGAAAACTGCGACCAGAAAATGAATCGTTACGAGCTAGTTTGAAACCAGTTCGGAACCTGAATGATCTCGTTTAGTGTTACTGAATGGCCTCGTTTAGCGTCACTGAATGATCTCGTTTAACGTCGCTAAATGATCTCGTTTAGCGTCTCTGAATGACCTCGTTTAGCGTCCCTGAATGGCCTCGTTTAGCGTCCTTGAATAACTTCATTTTACGTCAATGGCATAGCTGAGGATCCCTCAATGACCTCATTTAGGGTTCCCTGAATGACCTCAACTCTGTCAGTATAGATAACAGAGATGATACCTAGCAAGGATGTACAGAAGCACGCGAAAATCCAAAGGTTTGCTTTCAAACTAGTTCCGGGCATGAAGACTGTAAACAGAGGAATGTGGACTGAAGAAGTTAACTTGACGAAGCTCACAAGGAAAAGCAACAGGAGAGACGCAGAAGGGAAATTTTCTCCTCATCAATGACTCTTCCCTGTCCATCATCCTCATACAGGCACAATAACTCAGTAACATCCACACCCTTCCCACCATGCCTCCACCCACATCTTCACACTCTTCCAAACATACACACACACACACTTTTGTAACCTATCAATTTCCTTCAAGTATTCGTAACCTATACTTAAGGAATTACCACACGCTCTCCACCTTGTCAATACATTAGGTAAACTCTCCACAACAACACTCACTACTGCTCCAACCCCAACCACACTCCTTGACTGTCTGTATATGATCCTTCCCCGTAACCTCACACCCTTTCCTCTAACCCCTGGGCAAGGAACAGCATTTACATTTTCCTTACATCGCTACCGGGGTTCACCGCCCCCCACGACCCGGTCCTAGACCAGGCCTCCCGATTACTGGTCTGATAGACCAAGACATTAGCGAATCAGAAGACAATAAGAGAAAGGAAGGGTAAAGAAAGTGACACAGACGAACTCTGAAACAAAATCAGTGAATTATATGAACGAATAGAAGAGACAAAATTAAACGAAACAATATCAAATGTAATATTTCCAACAGGATATCAAATACTGAGGCAAATGAGATAACAGGCAGGTAAGGAATGGTATTGATAATAAGATATTAAGCGAACTTGGAAGAGCTCGAAGGACAAACAGGCGAGTCGAAAGGCGATATAGTAAATATAACAACCGGGAACACAAGCAGTAGCAGCAGCAACAGTAATAGTAGTGGTAATAGTATAAGTGGTAGTAGTAGTAGTAGTAGTAGTATTAGTAAGGTAGAACTACATGGGTAGTAGTGGCAGTAATCTACTGTTTACCACCAGACAGCAGAAGGGCTACTAGAACGATAGGAAAATGGTGGAGACTACTGGGGAAGTGGTTAAACAAGTTCACACGATCAAGACAAACCTTCTGATTTTGCAAGATTTAAACCAGCAATAACTACATTAAGAACCGAGAAAGATTTAGACACACACACACACACACACACACACACACACACACAGTCAGTCTTTGTGTATGGGCTCCAGGAAGTCGAAGGGGAAACATATGAAGCAAGAAAACAAGGGGGATAAAAGCAATTGAAAGCATCATGAAAGCAATAGGAGAAGACGATATGACCCAGCTGGAAAATTTTCGGAGAATAGGGGGGTTTGTAAAAAAAAGAACCCGGCCAGTGAGAGTGACCTTCAAGGCAGAAGCGACTCGGACCAGGATCCTGCAGGAGAAAGCACGATTAAGGGACATGACGGCATACAGGAAGGTGTATCTCGACTGCGACAGAACACAAGAAGAAAGGCAGAAACTGAGAGAGATGGTACAAAGGCGAAAGGAGGAAAGAGAGGGAATGGAGAAGACAGTCAGGAGGTCCCAGACCCAGGAAGAAGATCAAATACAGCCTCCCTCACAACTTCCTATAGAAGCCTCCCAACCAGGTCAACCCCAGTGCAACCGAACACTCTAAATCAAAACACCCATGCCACATCCAATGCCCCCACCCACTACATTACAAACTCCACCCCCACAGCAACAACCCATAGTTCCTTACCAGGTCTCCCACTTCCCCAACCCCAATATACCTCCCAGACCACAGTCTTAGAAAAGAAGTTGAAGGTGTGGTATACAAATGCAAATGGAATAACAAACAAGTATGAGGAGTGGCACGAAAGAATCAAAGAGACATCTCCAGACATAATAGCACTCACAGAAACAAAACTCACCAGAATAATAACAGATTCAATCTTTCCATCCGGATATCAAATCCTCAGGAAAGACAGAGGGAGGAGAGGGGGAGGAGGAGTTGCACTGCTCATTAAAAACCAGTGGGGTTTTGAGAAAATGGAAGGAATGGATGGCACGGGCGAAAGGGACTACTTAGTAGGAACAATCCAGTCTGAGGGACATAAGGTGATAATTGCAGTAATGTACAACCCACCACAGAACTGCAGGAGGCCAAGAGAAGAATACGATGAGAGCAACAGAGCAATGATCGACACACTAGCCGAGGTGGCCAGGAGAGCACACATGGGGGGAGCAAAGTTACTAGTTATGGGTGATTTCAATCACAAGGAGATTGACTGGGAAAACCTGGAGCCCCATGGGGGTCCCGAAACATGGAGAGCCAAGATGATGGATGTGGTACTGGAAAACCTCATGCATCAACACGTTAGAGACACTACCAGAGAGAGAGGAGAGGATGAACAGCAAGGTTGGACCTTGTATTCACCATGAGTAGTTCGGACATCGAGGGTATCATGTATGAAAGGCCCCTGGGAGCTAGTGATCATGTAGTTCTGTGCTTCGACTACATAGTTGAGCTCCAAGTGGAGAGAGTAGCAGGAATAGGCTGGGAAAAAACCAAACTACAAAAGGGGGAACTACTCAGGCATGAGGAACTTCCTTCAAGACATTCAGTGGGAGAGCGAACTGACAGGAAAACCAGTACAAGAAATGATGGACTATGTAGCAACAAAATGCAAGAAGGCAGAGGAGAGGTTTGTTCCCAAGGGAAACAGAAATAATGGGAAGAACATAACGAGTCCTTGGTTCACCCAAAGGTGTAGAGAGGCAAAAACTAGGTGTACTAGAGAATGGAAAAGGTACAGAAGACAGAGAACTCAGGAAAATAAAGAAATCAGCCGAAGAGCCAGAAACGAATATGCACAGATAAGAAGGGAGGCTCAGAGACAATATGAAAATGACATAGCATCAAAAGTAAAGACTGACCCGAAGCTGTTGTACAGCCACATCAGGAGGAAAACAACAGTCAAGGACCAGGTAATCAGACTGTGGAAGGGTGATGGGGAATTCACAAGAAACGACCGAGAGGTTTGTCAGGAGCTCAACACAAGATTTAAAGAGGTATTTACAGTGGAAACCAGTAGGGCTCCAAGAAATCAGAAACAGGGGGGCACACCAGCAAGTGCTGGATGAGGTACATATAACAAGGAGGAGGTGAAGAAGCTGCTATGCGAACTTGACACCTCAAGGCGGTGGGACCAGACAACATCTCTCATGGGTCCTTAAGAGGGGAGCAGAGATATTGTGTGAGCCATTAACAAAGATCTTCAACACATCATTTGAAACTGGGCAACTCCCTGAGGTATGGAAAATGGCAAATGTAGTCCCAATTTTTAAAAAGGGAGACAGACATGAGGCACTAAACTACAGACCTGTATCACTAACGTGTATAGTATGCAAGGTCATGGAGAAGATCATCAGGAGGAGAGTGGTGGGGCACCTGGAAAGAAACAAGTGTATAATTGACAACCAGCACGGTTTCAGGGAAGGAAAATCCTGTGTCACAAACCTACTAGAGTTTTATGACAAGGTGACAGAAGTAAGACAAGAGAGAGAGGGGTGGATCAACTGCATATTTTTGGACTGCAAGAAGGCCTTCGACACAGTTCCTCACAAGAGGTTACTGCAAAAGCTAGAGGATCAGGCACACATAACAGGAAGAAGACTGCAATGGATCAGAGAATACTGACAGGGGAGGCAACAACGAGTCATGGTACGCGACGAGGTGTCAGAGTGGGCGCCTGTGACAAGCGGGGTTCCACAGGGGTCAGTCCTACGACCTGTGCTGTTCTTGGTATATGTGAACGACATAACGGAAGGGATAGACTCAGAAGTGTCCTTGTTTGCGGACGATGTGAAGTTAATGAGAAGAATCAAATCGGACGAGGATCAGGCGGGGACTACAAAGAGCCTGGACAGGCTACAAGCCTGGGTCCAGCAACTGGCTCCTTGAGTTTAACCCTGCCAAATGCAAAGGTCATGAAGATTGGGGAAAGGGCAAAGAAGACCGCAGACACAATATAGTTTAGATGGCCAAAGACTGCAAACCTCACTCAAGGAAAAAGATCTGGGGGTGAGTTAACACCGAGCATATCTCCTGAGGCGCACATCAATCAGATAACTGCTGCAGCATACGGGCGTCTGGCAAACCTACGGATAGCGTTCCGATAAACCCCAGTAAGGATTCGTTTAAGACTCTGTATACCATCTACGTCAGGCCCCTACTGGAGTATGCAGCACCAGTTGGGGAAACCACACCTAGTCAAGGGACGTCAAGAAATTAGAGAAAGTGCAAAGGTTTGCAACAAGGGCTAGTCCCGAGCTACGGGTATTGTCCTAGGAAGAAAAGGGTTTAGGGAAATCGGCCTGACGACACTGGAGGACAGGAGGGTCAGGGGAGACATGATAACGAATGTAAAATACTGCGCGGAATAGACGAGGTGGACAAAGACGGGATGTTCCAGAGATGGGACACAGACACAAGAGGTCACAATTGGAAGTTGAAGACTCAGATGAATCAAAGGGATGTTAGGAAGTATTTCTTCAGTCATAGAGTAGTCAGGCCATGGAATAGCCTAGAAAGTGATGTAGTGGATGCAGGAACCATACATAGTTTTAAGGCGAGGTATGATAGAG